CATACACCGGATGATGATGTTCACGTCTAGGTAGCTAGACGAGAGGAACCCAGACGCGATTGGTTACAGTCCGCTCCTAGCCCAGCCGAGGAGGGGGCAAGGGAGATATGACGAAACTACTAGTAGACTGCGAATACAGAGGGTTCCGCCATGAGCGTCGACAGACCACGTCCAGAACCGCGAAAATAGCAGATTGGGGGGCGCAGTGATAACAGTGGATTTCGTAACCAATGAAAAACAGAGGGTTATAAAGATATAAGTGAAGGTTTCCACTTGATCGATCACAAAATCGCAGGAGGCCCCTTCTTAAAGTCAAGAGGCTGATTGTTCAGGAATGAGACGGCTAAAAGTGCCTGCATACTTTACGGTGTAAGGTGTTTACTTAATTTCCATTTTAATACCGATAACCTAGGCGATTACCTAATTTCTGGTGGAAGGCCATTCCAAGGGAACGCAAATTTGAGAGCAAAAATGATGTGACGATGAGTTGCAGTGCAAGGAGGCGGCGGAATCACCATGGAGGAGTTTTGCGCGGCATAAGACCGATCTCGCGGAGTCAGAGTGTCAATGAGTGGAAGATTAGAGTTAGACTTAATACGGAAAATGAAGCAAAGGCCAGGTTCGAGTCTTCTAATCCACAAAAACTTAATGTTCGCCAGCTGGCATCTCTGAGTATAAGAAGTATCGGATGCGACTTGAGAGAGCAGTTTTCGGGTGAAAATTCCCTAAAGATTTTCGATTTTATTACGGTCAGACGTTCGTTAGACCAACGAAAGGATAGCAGTATTCCAGGACAGGAAGAACAGACATTTGATAAATTCCTGGCTTCATCTCCGGAAGAGAAAAAGTATGCGATATGAACCCAGACATCTGCGCGACCTTGGCAGAGATTCTATCTGTATGAGGGGATAAAGCAAGTTTATTTGTGTGACCTAAACTTAAGTCCATTATGGTGAAGCATTCTGCGAATGGGTTATTCCACAAAATTATGGGGCCAGGAAGTTTGGCATGACCAAAAGACACGAAACTATCAAAAGTAAAGGAAGCATTCCCCGGGAGGGGTGTATTGGAGGTCTGACGTTTAGAGTAGTTGCTTCTTCTACCCATTACAGAGTCTGAGAAGTCATGCACACAGCTCATCCTATATGGTGCACTTTGTTTGATGCCTGGCCCGGCAATGGTGGCTGTGTGGCTGCACCCGATCCGCATGTCACCATGACCTGAATCGCCTCCGCCCTTGTCGGCCACGAAGTTAGTTGACGAGTCTGCTTTTCTCGCGCCGTGACTGTCCCCCGTCAAGAATGTCCGTAAAATCAGATAGGGGAGGCAAATTGATTGTGGCTGTTGGCAAAACAGTCGGTAGACATCCAGGCTTCTTGTGCCTGCCTTCCCGTATGATCATCACCTCGGTTCACATTTTCAACGGCGTCAACGTTGAAGAAGTGTCCCATTTGGGCGACATGGGTTACTACCTGCAGTTTTGAGTCCGACCTTCACACGGCCAACTTACGCTCGTGCATCCGCGTTTACAGCCATCGGTCGGTTTCCCCAACATCCCACGGTTGCACTGAAGACGGTAGACAACGGCTGACATCTCTTGCTTAGTGATCGAGCGTTTTGGTTTTACGGACGTTCTCGAAGGGAAACAGTCACGGCGCGGAACAGTCGGGGGCGCCAGCTATCGCCGCGGCCGACGGGGATAGCATATAACTGCACTTGGATGATGAAAACGCCATATGCACGTGATAGAAAACACATTATACATGCCACATGACAGTTCGACCATCGGTTCCGATGATGTCCACCGTGTGCCCCACAGTTGCAGCAGCAATGGAAGCAGGGACGGCGACTTACACAGGGGTTTATAATGCCGGTAGACTTGCGTGGCATCTACCTACACTCTCTCCTCCTCCCTCGCCCGAGCCCGGTGTCAAGAAAGAGTCAAGAAGACGGGAGACGAGGGAGGCCGCAAGTGGATGGCTTGGACTGATCCTCACCTTGGCGTTCCACCACACCCCCTGGTCCGCACAACAAATGGCCTGGATTTCAACCAATCACAACAAAGATTTGGAGACTGGCACGGCCGAAGCCGCACCTGGGCGTGCCGCCAACGCCTGGCTCGGAACCCACACTGTGATGGGAGTGCCATAAAGGCCACATTAAAAAGGAGCCATTGCAGCCTGACTCTTAGACCGCCTCCGGTCAAGGAGGAGGTCCAAGTTACCCCGTCAGTTGGAAACCTTCCAAGCCACGGCTTTTAGCGCACCGTGATAGCTTCAAGCGTGTCAGATTGTTTATAGTGAGGAGAAAGTGCGCTGAGTCGTCCACCTCACTCTCCCTTCCCACTCTCACACCCCATCCGCTGTCCGTGCCGGTCAGCAGACTGGAGTGGTGAAGGGGCGCGGTGGCTGTCGTGGTCGACTGACCATGACTGCGCGCGCCACGGCACGACCTGGCCCCCCATGCACACAACACCAGGATTTCACACAACGGGGGTTGACGGCGTGTCTCTCACTTGCGTGAGAGTGCCGTGGAAGGTGCTGTTTCAGCCCGTCCCCAGCCCACCAGTCCGCCACTCCACACAACACACACACACACAACGTGACGAACTGCGTGAACCGAGAGTGAGCCTCAATCAGCAACCTTCCTATCCACGACGCTTGACGTGTCGGGATAGTCTCAGACTCAAGTCACCCGTGCAGCCGAATCCGCATGGGGACCGAGTCGAGATGCGGACTTCCAATTTGCGTGGGAGGTGGCAGTTGGGTGCATGAGGTGTGAGAGTGTTGATTTCTGGTGGGGTGATTGTGGTGGTGAAGGAGGTAGGGAGTGAGTGAATGTGTGGTGTGGCCGGCGGTTGTCTATCGCAGGTCGTTGTGGATGCGCATGTGGCCGAAAAGACCCATGCGAGGCCTGAAAGTGCGAGGACAGTGTGGGCAGTGGAGGCGAGTGCGGTGGGTTTAGGTTTGTGCTTCACGCACTGGTTCGCCAGTGTCTGTGCGATGGATTCGCAAGTGACCGACCAGGCCGATGTATGAGGTGAAGGTACGGTCGCACTGAGGGCAGGTGTAGTCCTGATTCTCATCCC